GGGCATGAAAAGTCCGCCACTGAGCGGGGAGGGCACAGTCCTTACTAGAGGCCGCCCTAGTGTCACGCACATGTATGCCTTCATCCTTGTAAACGCCCGCCACTAGGTAGATCCCAAACCCAGGCCAAAAAGGCGAAGACCGTTCTGGACCACTGCACCAACCGACAGGCTGGACCTAAACCCATCTATTATGGTAAATACTAAGGCAGCGGCGCCTCCAAGGAGCCTCTGACCCTGATTTAAATGTCTTCTAAATGTAACTTGAAAACTTCACAGTAGTAGTTGTAAAACTGAGCAAAATTCTGGTCTGGGTAAGAGTTGCTTCAGAAATGAAACCAAAACCTTCGCAAAAGCTACTGTTTATTGCTGGTTCATTTGTGTATGGTTCTGGACACTGATGCAAACCTGATTATAAACCTGATTCTTAATTCAGATTACCATATCTGGACCTGGAGATGAGGAAGCTTCCCAAGAAGAGGCTATCAATATCCCATTACTGACCATTTGCATACTCTGCCAACTGCCTAGGGCGACAGAGAAGGGGATCTCATATCATCTAGATGAATGCTGCCAAGTCACAAAGTGCTAAGAGCTTATGTACTACCCAGATTATTGTCAATAGTGGCAACTGAAAGCTTTAGGGTCCTTGGTGACCACACAGTGCAAAACTGCTCTGTACTAAATAATATAAAAGTCCACAATAGCTATTCTCATCACTTTGAGGAAGGCAGGCTCTTAATTCAATATACTCCTTTTGAACATCCCTCAAGCTACACATCTTGCCCATTTTCTGAACATAATACATGACAATGAATAATCTACAAAGAAAATAGGTGGTTGCGGCTCACAGTTCTGGAGGTTGAACCGCCAAGCTCCTGCAGCACAATATATGCCCAGGTAAGGGCTTCGCCAATGGGAAGCCCAAGTAAGCAGTGTGGGTGAGTAAGCACAGGTGCAAGGATGACCTGCTTCCAATAACCACCCACTTTCTCAAAGGAACTCCATTAAGCCCTGGGAATTCGAAGGGACAAACCATGTTCAAACCACTTCAGCAACCTACCCACTCTTCAGATAAAGCTATCTGTGTTCCCCCTTCCCCTAATAGTAAGAAGTGAGAAGTAAATTCTGGGTCCTTCAGGTCCTCTGGTCAGACGTCTCTCTTCCTTTATAAAGAAAAGATGAACCCAGGCCCCTACTAGAGGCTCAGCTCCTAGGTTGGCCTTGTGTCCATTGTCTTGCGCTCCCTTCTGATCCCAATGTTAAGCAAGGGTTAAGTGCTTTCAATTTCCTAAATTATAACCAGATTTCCAAGCCTGTAATCCACCCCTTAGAAACTGCATTTCAATACTAGCTATTCCAATTCCTAGTTGGCAATACCAAATTTGACCACCCTGCTTCCCCAAACAGAGCAACATTTGCTTGGGTCTTTGCCAGCCTGGCTACACTTGTGTTCTCTCTTACCTTTTTCAAGTCAGGCCTTCATTATCACCTCAAAGAGCCTCCACAGAACTATCCCAACCTTTCTTACATTGGTCAGAAGCAAAATCTTTATTTGCAGCAGAGCAGGTATGGGATGGCACTGCCAGCCTACCTGCTGCTGAGGGAAGAGACTGTCCCCACCCACCCCAGCCCTGCCTGTTTCACACAGCTCCCCGACCCCAGCTTCCATCAGGAAAAGGAGGACAACAATCTGCCCCAAATGGCAGAAAGCAAGGACCCAAAAGGCAAGACGTAGGATTTTCTTCCCAGTCCTCTTCATCAATCAACTCTGGAAAGATGTCCAATTAGCACCCTTGTCAACCAGCCTACTTATCCTACAGCCTATCTCTAGTTACCTGAAGGGCCAACAATTTTGTTGGCTGCCTTGCTGGACTATGATACCAGTTCCCTGTTCTGCATATTCCACTTTCCATGAGAGCCTGAAGAAGGGAGGCCAAGCAGCAGCCAGCTACAGCTTCCAGAAAGGGTTCCATATAAAGCTGGGCTGAGCCCTGGTTCCTGAGGAAGTCTTTGTTCTTTAGGGATCACAGAGCAGCATCTAGTGGCCCTTCTGGGCAGCACAGATTACATAATTCAATGCACAGCAGGGCACCAGAGCAGTGCAGACACCTTAGCCTCTGCTCCTAACACCAGTAGTGACTCCTTAACAACCAAGAAAGTCCTGGCACTGTGAAGACTGGTGCCTAAAAGGGACCCTTGGTGAGATAGCCCAGCCCAGACCAGCCTATGGAGCAGATGACCTTCTCAGTTATACCTAAACTAGCTCACATGAGGGCTGGGAGGGAAAGTAGTGGCACAACTGCTGGTCCTTGTTGGTCTAGAACAGCGCTGTCCAACTGAAGTATAACATGCGTCACAATGACAAGCCACATAGATAATTTGATACTTTCCAGTAGCCACGTTAAAAAAGTAAAAAGAAACAGGTGATTTGTAATAATATTTTATTTAACCCAATATACCCAAAATATTCCAACATACACTTTAAAAAACTTGAGATATTTTACATTTTTTCACTCTTATCCTTCAAAATCTGTTTTTTTTACATTTGCAGCACATTAACAGTTCAAAACTAGCCACACTATAAGTACTCAACAGCTGCATGTGGCTAGCAGCTACTCATTGGACAGCGCGGGTCTAGAGGAAGTCACCAGGCTGAGCAGGGAAGCAGAGAAAAGGGCTGCTGCCCTGAGCCTCTTGGGGAGGGGATCCCCTAAGTTTGGGAAACCCTTTCCTCTCTGTTCCAGTACTAGGAACTCTATGGAATATTTATTTTAAAGTCCTTTATAGAAACAAACCTCTATGCAAGTAAAATTATGCACAGAAACACAATATTAAAACTGAGAATACCAAAATACTCAAACTGGAGAAGAGTCGGCAAATCCCTTAGAATCGTTCCCAGGGTCTGAGAACATCATGAAAACCACTGCTTCTGAAGATTCTAAAAGGAAACTAAACCACAGCTGAATGTGAGAACCCTCTACACACTTGCATTTCCATTACTTCATATGACTTTTGTATCACAATCACCTACCATAGAAGCATCAACCTTGGAGGATCTTACTGACAGAATCCAAGTGTTCTTGCTGGAACATGCTGCCTTAGAAAGACATACCTGAACTCCATTTCTGCTTTCAGTCATCACAGATCAAGTCTCCTGCCCAAAGCCCTCCAAAGTGGACTACAGATTCGGCTAAAGGATACTAACATTAATATAAGCAAATGAGATAATGGAGCTTTGGCCAATCTAGAGGGCTAGACTATTGCTGAGCTACACAGAGCTGTTTGAACTTGCTCAGAAAACCTCCAGTACTCAAGAAATGACACCTTTTGAAAAAAAAATTATTTTATTGGAACTCATCTGAACATCAGATATACCTGGTGTTGGTTAGCAAGAACCGTTTGTACATTGGATATTGATGGTGCCAAAACCAAAACAGTGACTGGACATGATGGGGAGAAAAGATGTTAAGAACAAAAACCTGATTTCGGAGAGGAAAATAAAAGCCAGTCAGATTCAGTGAAGATGCAAAACCTGGTACAACAAAATCCTTTTACAAAATATAAATTTATTACGAAAACCTGGAAGGATAATCTGAGAAAGGTAAAGAAAGAGAAAAGGAGGCCAGCAGGAAGGAGACAGGAAGAGGGGGAGAAGAAAAAAGAGAAAATGAGAGAAGAAAATATTGTTGAGCACAGCGACAAGGTGCTGAAGCTTACCTGCCCAAATGGCATTAAAGCCTTGCTATGTAATCATATCAGAAAACAAAGCATGCTGAAATACAGTGCTCTACCGCCCATCCATTCGAGTTCTAAGAGGTAAATAAAGACGCTCCCTAGAAAGGAGACATGAGGTTGCTTGAAAACCCAACAGAGAAAATTAAAAAACAAAATGAAACAAAAAACACCCCACAGTCTCATTTCCGATGTTCACTGTTTTAAAAAGGAATAAATCCATCTGACAGCAGGAGAGTGGGAGAGGGAAGGAAAAAGTGGTCTCCTGATTGAGAGAGGGGAAAGAGAAGAGAAAGAAGAGTAGAGGACAGAGAAGAGGGGCAGTTAAAACACTGACATCTAGTCTAATTACTGTGTTAAAAAAAGCCACATGCACAGCAGGTCCCCTGGGGGCTGAGGGCCCACGCTGCTCCCTGTGTGGCCGAGGTGGACACTAGCTCCTGGCCTTGTCCCCATTCCTTTCACAGGTCAGAGTGGAGCCGTGCAGGTGCTGCTGCTGCTGCTGCTGCTGCTGCTGCTGTGGCGGCCGCGGCGGCAGTGGCGGTAGTGGAAGGACCTTCGGCTAGTCTGCTGGAGCCAATATCAGGAAAGGAAGGATGGACAGGCCAAATGGCAAGGGAAAGAACATCGAAACGCCTCATTTCAAATAAAAAAGAAAATAGCAGTCTATACACAGTTGTTTGTTTTGGTTCAGTACAAACAGAATAAAAAGTCATTGCTTTTGATGGTCAGCAAACACCCAATTCTGAAGAAGAGGAGAGGTGACGCCCAGCGGGTAGATTAGGGCCCCCAGTGGTTGGCGGGGTGCCTGGCTTTGCGGCCCTCTCCCAGGAGGCAGAGAGCACAGCTTTAGGTAGTGTAAGCCTTTTTCCTTTTATTTAGAATAATCTTTTTTTTCTTTCTTTTTTTTTTTTTTTTAAAGCAATTTCCCACTCCCAAGTTGGGCCAGTAAAGATTACATGAAAACTGGCACACCTATGGGTTGGAATACAGATGCACCAAATGAGGATTTAAAAACTTTCCGAGCGAAAAGTAGAACAAAAAGAAAAAAGAAATCTCCTAGCATTTTGCCCCAAGGTTTCACTCTCCCGCCACACACACTCTCCAAAGGACCGCTACAGATCCAATTCTGCAAGAGAAGACAGAGCAGTGTCAATCAGGAAGCCACGAGGACACCAGGAGGAGGTTTTCAGTCCCAACAGGCAGAAGACAGCGCTGCCCAGCCCTAGGTCCAGGGCAGGCACTCACCTATGTCAGTTTCTTGGCTTTGTTGTAGAGGGAATCCACTACTTTACTCATGTTCTGAATTGTTTCCAGAGCAGCTTCATAAGTTTTATCTACTGGGGGTTCATCGAAAATAATCAGGACACCCTCCCCCTGGTCCAAAATCCCTGCAGGAAACACAAGGGCAACCCAAGTAAAAGAATAGATTAGACATTAAAAGCAATTTTAAAGTAGCCTGATCCCTAGTTGCCTCATTTTCTCCAGAAAAAGGGAATAGAACTCATCTTCCTGTCCCATTTGCATGTTATTACACACTTAACACAGGGAAGAGGGACCAGGATCCCAGAGAACCAAACAATTTCTTTAAAAATAAACCTCTTGTCAGGCACGGTGGTATATGCCTGTAATCCCAGCAGCTTAGAAGACTGAGGCAGAAGGATCTCAAATTCAAAGCCAGCCTCAGCAACTTAGAGAGGCCCTAAACAACTTAGCAAGATCCAGTTTCAAAATAAAATTTAAAAAAGGGCTGGAGATGTAGCTCAGTGGTTAAGCGCTCCTGGGTTCAACCCCCGGCACCACAAATAAATAAATAAATGCCTCTTAAACCATCTTTATCACCACTAGTCCCCTTGCCTATGTGACTATTACTCACCATGAAACTTCTTGTCAAGAATCATCTGTGATAATTTTCTTTCCACATCGGCCTAAAATCAAAGCACATGATTAAAGGGACCATATCACCCTGATATGAAAGCTTTGTAGAAAAGACCTTAGGGCAAATGGATTGAAAACCAAACAGCAACAAAGCAACTTCAGCTCTGACATTTCCCATTCCCTGGGAAGCTTAGGAGCTTTCCAATAAGGCCCATCAGGTACAAATGCTATCCCTTCTACACCACCTCTTTCCCATCCCTACCCACCAGAAGGCCTCTGAACTCCTTACCTTAGAGAGTTTGATGAGGCTAGATATGTGTTCAATCTAAAAGGAAAGGCAGAGAGACACAACACTGAAAGTTTTACTTTTGCCTCCAATATGAGAAGCAGGGGACAGGAAATTGCTGTCTTTTGAACCTGTTGAATGTCTCTAAAAATTTTCCCTGGCCATACTTAGCTTCCCTTATGCGGTCCATTTGCCTGATGTTACCATTACAGATAATAAACCCACTCCTGTCCCACATACCCAATACAGAAAATGAGTACCACATGCACAATGACTACAAAATCAAGAAAGAAACTGTACTCAGGGCACAAGCAGGTGCCATAGCCACTCATTTCCCATCAAGATAAACCGAGCTCTTGGTGGCCTCTTGCTCACCAGGCATAACCTTGGAAGTGAGCTCCTATTTCGTACAGATGTGAAAAGGGAGGTGGCTACAGTGGGAATGTATGGCCAAAACCAGACAGAATCCCCAGGATGGTTCTTACCTGTACTCGAGAAAAAGGTTCAATGACTCGGATCAGATTCTGCTCCAGTAAGTTATCATACAACTTGGCCAAGTGTGTGCTGATGATTGGGTCATCCCGGAGCTCTGCCCGGTAATCTGTCAGGGCCTGTCCAAAGAGCCAGCACAGAGATTGGCACAGAGAAGAACTTTAAAGTCACACTCCTCCTAACTTCCCGAGTAGCATTCTAACTACATGGTTGAATGAAGTTCTGGGAGTTTTGAGGAGATCAAAGAAAAGCCATTAACAAAGCAGAAAAAAAGGAATGTCAAACAAAAAGGTGAAGTCACAATCTTTCTATCTAAAACCTTCATGTCACCAGTTCAAATCATGTAAGTCCTAGGAGCAGTTCCACTTGTAAGCCAAATCAACTATATAAGCATTTTTCAGCATTTATTTCAAATAATTCTGAGTTTAAATGAGAAACGCTAAATTGTACAACAAGATCTTGGGAGTTTTGTGAGGAATATCAGTATAGTATAGCTCTGCTGTTAAAACAGAAAACCTAACCGATTTTGTTTAATCCTAATATTTCCCAAATATCTGATCACAGGACCCTTTTCCCAAGGAATCACTTGGAATAAAAGTGTTCCATGTAAGATCCAAAGCTGGGGGTAAAATGACAAATTATTTATTCATGTACATGACATATGTACCTTTAGCGATGGTTTCACTATCCAAGTCTCATGTCCACTGTACTATAAGATGTTTTAAAAAGCAGGCAAATCATACCAAGTAAGAGATGGCAAGAATCAGCAAGAGTCCTCAGGAAAATGATGAGTCTTGGGGATAATCCAGGCCACATGGCCTATTATCCATCTACATGTTTTTTTTTTTTTTTCATTCTGGATCTAGGAGGGTTTTTTGTTTTTGTTTTGGGGGTAGGAACTGGGGATTAAACCCAAGGGCACTTTATCACTAAGCTACATCCCCAGTCCTTTGTATTTTGAGACAGGGTCTAAGTTGTTTAGGGCCTCTCTAAATTGCTGAGGCTGATCTTGAACTTGTGATCCTCCTGCCTCAGCCTCTTTGAGTTGCTGGGATTACAGGTATGTGCCCCACATCTAGCTGGATCTAGGTTCTGTTTTTAAGTTGGTCACTCTAATCACACAAAGAGGAGAGAGGCTCAAGTAAGAATATATATACCTAAAACAAGTGTCTCTCCTTTTGAAACTTCCCAATTAGCAAATGGCATAGGAGTTGTTATGGTATGATTATGAAGTATCCCCCAAAAGCTCTTGTGGTAATGAAGGAATGAAAATCATTGGGGGCATGTCCTAGAAGGGTTCATTTCCCTATGTAAGGGAGTAGTGCTCTGTTTCTTGGCTACCATGAGTGAAATAGTGTTCCTCTACCACACCATTCTGCCATGTTGTTGTGCCTCACCGTAGGCCCAGAGCAAGAGGTCATCCCATGAACCAAAATGAAGTTTTCCACCTCTAAATTGTTCTTGTGGGGTATTTTGGTCACAGTAATGAAAACCTGACTAACTAGTCAAAATCTAGAACATCCTCCTGAGGAAGTTTCTCTTCTTTACAGTTTTATCATCCTGAGGAAGTTTCTTTAGAGCAAATGTGCACATAAAACTTCTCTTTTGATCACAAAGAAGCAGACCTGACATTTCAGGAGCTGAAGGAATACCTATGATTATATTGTGTGAGATAAGCACTAGACTTGGAGTCAAACCATGATACATATAACTATGTGACTTTGGGCATCCTCCTGATTCCCTCAACCTCAAAATGAAGATAAGAGCTTTGCTGTAAATAAGGATGACAGAGAGAACTTTTTGAAACTAAGAAGTATTATATATGATATATAATCTAAATCAACAAGTTTCATTGTACAAAAGTGCTTAACTATTTCTTGGATTTGAGATTGTACTCAAAGGGCACATGGGATCACTTGATGCTATCTTTGCAACTTCTTATAGAACTATTTTTAAAAAGTTTTTAAATGGTCTTCCACCCCATTCCCTACCAACCCAATACCATGCTCACCTTTTCAAAATCTGCCAGCGATCTGTTCTTGCTAGCCTGAGCCACGCATTTTAATGCTTCTGTCTGAGAATAAAGAGATAAATCATAAAAATGATCTATTTTGCATGTTTACATACACCCAAAAAAGTCTCAGAGATAATATGTTTATATCCACAGAACTTGTGCTATAAGGATTCTTTTTCAGAGGCCTGGGCCTCTGAGGATTAAATATCACTGTATGCCAACCATTTTCCTTTTGAAATCTCAAGTGACTTAGAAGTCTCCCCAAAAGACCTTGATACAGAATTCTCCAGATATGACAAGCTGAAAGGGAAAAATGACAGAACTGTGATTTCTTTCCCCTTCCTCTAAGAATCCTTATCTCCATACCTACCCAACTCCTTCCTGTGCTCAAACATGAGTATACACCTGTGCTTTATCAAGATCCATTCTACCAAGTTCGAAACAAGGCACTGAATGAGGTCTATTTTATTAGGATTAAGGTATTAATATATTCTACATATTA